ACTGGTACCAGTACTCTGCACTGGTACTCTGCACTGGTACTCTGCACCGGTACTCTGCACTGGTACTCTGCACTGGTACTCTGCACTGGTACTCTACGCACTGGTACTCTATGCACTGGTGCTGTACTCGCCAGTAGTGCTCTACAGCAGTCCTGGCGGAGATTAACTTAGCTACTCAATGACGAGAGTGTTGCTAAGGCGTGGGATGTTTGCTAAGGCGTGGGATGTTGTGGGCCTTACCGAATGCGAAGATTGACTTGGTGGCTCTGGCTGTGAGCAATCTATCATCTACGAGAAGTTGGGCAAAAGTGAAATGAATGTCAGCAGCAAGAGTAGAAGAAAGATAGCAGGGGCAGAAGGGAGAACTGGTTTGGGTGCCTGATGCCACCGTGGAATGACTGAGTACGACTGTCAAGGGCAAGGGCGTGGGTAATAGACGAACGAGTCCTTCGGGACATCCGTTAAAATTGGAGGGATACAGAGAAGATAAATTAACAAAAAGGGGCCCTGCGCAAGGATGACACGCATAGAACGAGAAATGGTCCAAAAGTTTTGGAAAAAAGAAAGACAAGACGAATGACTCCTTTTGTTCCTGTTGGAAGGAAAATAATGTTCTTGGTCATTTTTAACTTTTTTGGTTATCGTGCACTGGGTGTCTGGTGGCCAGATCATGCTGGCAGGTACCACGCCCTCAGTTCTGTCTTTTACAGGGCCCTTAGTTGTCCTTTTCTCTTTGTTGATTGCGACTCCTTTGCTGTCAGTATGGGACACCTTTGAAAAAGTAAAAAGTACGAAGGTACAAGTTAAAACACCAAGCGTAGTGTCTGTTCTGTTCCTTTTCCTCCTCCCCCTCCCCCCCTCTCTCTCTCTGACAAATGTGCTCCCAGTTTGTGGCTCTTTGTCACATTACAAAACGCGTGGGGCCTCGCCCCACTGCTCAACAATCTAAATGTATCGAGACCTGGGAATGGTCCCGATACGTTCAAAGTTAGATCAGTCCAAATGCGTCTGGCTGACGGATCTGTCGAGATACACGTGCAATGTTGTGTAGTGGAGCGAGACCTATGGTTTGCGCGTTCTCATGAATTGAGATTTTGCTACCATCTTCCCCCGAGCATAACGCACCTGGATAATGAACGTATACAAGTTAACTTTCTGGTCCGATACAGTCAAAATGAGGGTGCGTTGTGTTGGGGGGAAGGTGGTAATGAGTTTTGTCAGCAACTTGTCGGAGTGCGTCAGCACCCCCGCAAAATTGACAGCATGGCAGGAGAAGATAGGAAAGGAGTTGGAAAGAAGTATCTCAGAGCACATACTCTCACTAGGACTTTTTGCTAGATGCACCTGACTAGAATTACGGCCAGGCCTGGATGCATTTGACTACCGTCTTCCCCCGGAACACATTGCACCCTCATTTTGGATGTATCTGGCCGGAAATACTTGTATACGCTCATTTTAAGGGTGCGTTATGTTCGGGGGAAGACGGTAGAGTTACGGCCAGACCTGGGCGTATCTGATAGCAAATGTAGTTCCTGAAAAATTGGCTTGATTCCTCGAGATGGATGAAAACCTAGTATTTGCTTCGTTGCCGATAGAAATGTAGAAACGTACATACTCGAAAAGCACATGCTGTGTTCGCTCTTACCTCAACATTGGTAAGTAGTAGTGGCGAGCCTACCTACGGATCTGCTCATCTTTCTCCTTAGAATATCTGTCCAATTGTGTCCCTCTTCTTCTCATGTTCACCTTATCCATCGCTGTGGGCATCTTGTTGTCCTGTCTGGCTGGTCCGCCTTGTTGACGAGTACATCCATACCATGGATTAATTCATGGGGAAGGCATCACATGTTCACTGTAGGTCTAGGCGTAGATTCTTCGTAGTCAGGGGGAGCTGTACGGTTCTCTTACCACTGGACTATTTGCTGGGAACCCCTATGGATCTTGGTCCTCCGGATTCTCTTTCCATTCTGTCGATCTCTATCATGCGTCCTCTTATCCACTTCTCTCCAGTCTTATCCCTTTGTCTATTTATAGATCCATTTCTTCACCTACTTCCTTCCCCTTGACTTTTCTCTGAGTTTATCTATTCCTTTGTCTATTTTCATATCCGATTCACTGACTCCGTCACAAGTGTTGAGAGCTCTGGAGGTATGATGGTTTGGGTCTGCTTTGATCAGACCAGTGTGATGGCAATGGTGCGTAATAGTCAAGACAGAGAGAAGCCATGACAAGTATCTCAATGAACTATACATGACGAAGGACTTGTGCACTTCCCGAGGCAGAATGAATTCTACCAACTGTTACAATTATTTCATCCAATACTGCCATGAATGAGAACTTGAATTGTACAACGGCAATTCCTTGATGTGATGTGCACAGAACTTGACGATCGGTCTGTCAGTTCGGACGCATGCGCACGGGAGCATCTGTGCGGCGAGGTGCACGCTTCGTTTCCCTGTTGTTTGCAAAGTTTTGCGTGTAGAAGAAAATTTTCCAAAATTTTGGCCGGCCACATCTTCAGTAAACTGTAGACCTTTCGATGAGGTCTTGGATTTTCAGATGTGAGTAGCGCGGTTGCATCGTCGGCCCTTTTCTTTGAAGGTGTCAGTGTAAGTGGGTTTGTTTTTCTTTTTGTCTGTTCTTTTCTCTTCTGGCTTTGTGTTCGATTCGTCAAGTCTTTTTGTCAGTAGCTTTATGGCACGCTACAGTCTCAAGGTTATGGCCTACAGGTCTGTGTCTGTATTGCCGAACAACAGTCTTATTGAAACCGGTCCCGTATTGCTTGTTCGACGCAGTTCGTCCCTGGAAGATTTCTTATTTTATTCGTACAATTCTCAGTGCGGAGGAATTTGTCAGATGGTCACATTTGCGAGTTCGCACCTCGCTAGCATGCGGTGGGGCATATCAGACATGATGGTAGCAGCGGCTAGACTACGGTCAGAGTTTCTGTCAAAGGAAAATATTGCACATGGATTAGCCATTGTGTACGATATTCAGATTTGACAGCACCTGAGGACCCCACAACTTCATGTTACATCGAGCCTGACACATCTGTTCGGAAATCGTGTGTTGGTTGGCATGAACCCTCACTGTATGAAGTACTTGATCCACCTACTTCTTGCGTGTAGAATGAGAGTGGGGACGCTTGGTGGGGCACAATTTATTGGGGGGGAAGGGTTACTGTGCATGCACCTAAAAGGGGGCATGCTCTGCGTGGTTCTTGTTCCGCCCATGTGGAAAGAGAGTGGGGACACTTTGTGGGGGCATAATATTTTTTTTTTTAGGGGGGGGGTGAGCGGGGGCCACTGTGCATCAGCCTTGAAAGCAGAAAAGTGCATGCGCACGGGTTGGGAGAGGGATGACTAAACTCAGAGGGAAGCATGTGCACAAGGCCGAAGGCATGCAGGGTATGCTTCCCCGAAACGACCGCTCTTCGGCCCGCCTCATCTCGTATAAGCGCCTGGGGGCTTGCATCACAGCTGCAGGCACGAAGTGCACCAAGGCATGCTGGACATGACGAAAACAAGAAAAACCTGGGGGGGGGGGGGGGGGGAACGGGGGTTACTGTGCATGAGCCTTGAAA